TAAATTATCGAAGATGTGAACACCATCTCTTATATAACTTTTCCCGTACTTTTTACTTTTTAAATGGAACACTCTGTATATTTATGGACTACAAAATTATCTTTCTTTTATCTTCTCAAAAATATTTAATAGTGCGCACTTTTTTCGAGGAAACTAGCAAATAAATGTCAAACTTAGAAAATTACATGGAATTATGTGAGTGATCAAGTCGATGTGAACATTCGAACGCAATGACACTGTGTTGGGAGTTTTTAAAAGCTACTTGGCAAGCAGGCGAATGGGAAATCATACACATTTTGATACTGCATACGCACAGTACTTTCAATCTATATATAACATTGTTGAGCATGCTCTTTAGCAGTGATAGGAATGGTGTGAGAGCCTAGGCAATTAACAAACTTCACAGAGTAAAGGAATAGTTTGATTGTTACTCTCTCTGAATATAGAAAAAACTAGCTATATGGCTTTTTTTCAAAGACCATTGTTGAAAGTATACTATTTAAAAACCGAAATGAATAAATTTTGTGTGGAATGTGGCATAACCGGAAATATCAAGCGTGGTGAACGGCGTCTCTCTGGGTTCAGTTCTGGGCCCAGTATTTTGAATATACATTAATGACATGTATCATCATATCTCTTTAATAAACACCAAAAACTCTGAGAAGGATAGAACAGTCTTTAAACCATTCACCTGTATACAACTAGAAAAATAACGAATAGATAAATACAGGTACCGATGCCTAGAAGTGAATTTTATAAACATAATTTTAACTACTTGGGACCTTCTCAAATTAAAAATGATACAGGCAGATTTAAGAACGAAAGTCGTAAACTTGAATTTGAAAATTGCCGCCAAAAATGTTCTGCCATGCTGTCATCGACTCATCAATTGCCGGTGGGAAAGTTATACTTTATAACAATGTATCACGTTTTCTACTGGAAAAACTTTTTTGAGGCACACTATCTTCTATTTGTTTAGATTATTTGTTGCCGAACGACTTGAAAAATAATAAAATCCCAGAACATATAAATTGGTAGCGCGATCCGTTTACCGGTTATTGCCCGACGACAATAATATAGTCACGACATGACTCCTCCTTTATTAACTTTTAAGACAAAGGGCGTCAGGTCGTAATTTTTGCAATACTGTCACGCACACGCGCCGTTCTTCGCTATTTAAATGGTAATTTTCCAATCACAATATTCATGCATCCGCTTTGAGGGAAAGTGACACTCAACCGGAAGCTAACATTTATTTTGATTGACATTGTTACCATATCTGACACGATTATCGACACGGTTAATTAATGGTTGCTTTAGCAGATTAATTCCCAGCAAAAATACCTGCGTCCAAATAAAGTTTCCATGACCGACAAAGTGCTAGTGCCTTTGTTTCTAGCTTAAGTTTATCCAGTGAAATCGACCTAAACTGGAACTGATCCCGTGAGGCAAATATTATTTAGAGAGAGACGGATGGTAGTGGAGATTCTTTTCTTTTGTCACACACGTGCAAAAAAGCGTAATAAGACTATAAAGATTTTTTCATAACTCCTAGTGGGCTCTGCGATCTACCCAATGGGCAATGAGCATTTGATGTAAATACAAGGAATAACGACATCTAGAGTGTCACTGCAGTGATTGATCTCCATTAAAAAGTAATCTAAATCTTAAATCTAGATTTGTCTATGTGATATTAAGTCCAAACTTATCTGAGTTCTCAATTAAGATCGATGGCAAAGCTCTCTTTAGCCTGTGCACTTCATTGTAGTCGCGGTTTGCTAGCACACTCTTTTAATTTAGTTGGTGATGTAATAAAGTCCGTTGGTAATGGCAAGCAAACCTTGTTTTGGAACATCTGCAGGATGTTAATATTGGAGTCACTAGCAGCGCCCCACGGTTGAATTCCATAAGTCCAGATTGGCTTGAGAATGATCTTGTATAGCAATACCTTATTATCCAAGGATAATTTGGGTTACTTTAAGCCCAAGCAACTTGCGTTGAGTAAATATATGTTTTCTCCATGTGCTGCCTACGGCTTGTAGTAGTTGTTAGTCTTCATAGGGGGATATGGTTGTCTGCGTAGCGTGAATGTCACATATGCAGACCTAGTTTTTAACCAGTGTTGGATTTTATTTAGGTTAGGTTGAAAGTTTCTTGAAGCTGACGTTGGGTCAGTATGTGATTCCGGAATAGCAATATCATCCGCATATGTTGCTACCAAAGTTGTTGTTGGTAGGTCTACTATATTGGTCCAATCACATGTCCTTGAGGGACGTCCGAATATATAAAGTTTAGCTCAGTACACTCTAAGATCTGTTTCACCAAGAAGTATCTCATTGACCAATAAGATTTTAGTAGCTGGAAGTGAGGGTGCGGCTGAAATTTCTTTAATTTGACCTGCAGGCCAGTAAGCCACACTGGGATAAATCTAACAAAGCAGTTGAAAAAGATTTGTTGGCATTTAGGTCTGTGTTTAGTTGGTTAATGAATTGCCCTCTTGATGAGTTTTTGGTTTTGGTAAACAAACCAATTTATTATATATTAGTTTTAAACATTTTTCCGATAGATCGAATCCCAGTGCTTTTTTGATATTAATTTTTAATTTATTTTAATTTTAGTTTCTTATGAATCTATCTTTTTCTTCTTGAGATGATAATTTTGACGCAAAGGGTTTAAATAATTTTTTTAAGTGTTTAGAGAAAACTTCTACTTTTCCTTTGACGTTTCGATTGCCATTTTTAATGGGTGGACTGTATTGGAGCGTTTTGGGTGGCTTTCCAATTGGAGTTAGACTTTTCAGGTATACTTCAATTCCTTGGTTTTGGTCTTCTTGGAATAAGTATTAGCTCTTTTGATGCATTATTATGTTTTTCTGTTTTGGTGGCTTTCCAATTGGAGTTAGACTTTCCAGGTATACTTCAATTCCTTGGTTTTGTTCTTCTTGGAATAAGTATTAGCTCTTTTGCTGCATTATTATGTTTTTCTGTTTTGGTGGCTTTCCAATTGGAGTTAGACTTTCCAGGTATACTTCAATTCCTTGGTTTTGTTCTTCTTGGAATAAGTATTAGCTCTTTTGATGCATTATTATGTTTTTCTGTTTTTTTTTTTCAGTTCTTCAACTTCCAGTGTTTACGTAGCTGTATTTTTATTGCAAGTTTTTGCTTAATTGTGGTTGCCATTATCGGTGAATGGTCAGATGGTAGATCAAAGCATGATTTGCCTTTACATTTTTTGTCTCATTGAAATTGGCATCGGCAGTTTTATTTATATCTGATGGTTCACTAGTGGATATTTCCAGTAAGTTGTTTGCTTTACGGCTGACAGTCTTAAACATTATATTGTTGTGGGGATTAGGTGGGCAGTTTGTTTTGAATTTATTTTAAAATTCCATAACTCTTTTATTAACAATATTGCATACGTAAACCTAATAGTTTTTCCAATATATAAATTTTACAAAAAAAATTTTAGCTTTCGCATTTGCAAAAAAAAAATACGATAGCGTATTATATTTTAAAGGTCATATTTGATATCATCGAGAAAGATATGTGGAACGGAATTTGAATTAGATACTACAGGATGTTCAAAATAAACGAACATTTGGACAATTTTAAATTAAACAATCTACATTTTTTTAAATTGCACACCATACATATAACAATTTTTTCTTAAAAATCTAACAAAAAACAACTTTTATTGAGAATGTCATATACCTACGTTTAATACTTTGAGATTTATTTAAACTTTCCCAATATTTGCCCTTTTTTCTGTCTAAGACCATTGCCAAATTTTTACCTGACACGTGAGTAAATAAATTCATAAAATTGAGGTGCCAGTAAATTAAAAATAGATTTTCTTATAGATAAATTAATTCATATGATTTATATACTGGGTGATTCGGAAAAAATACTTGGCAATAAGACAATAAAGCGAGGTATCCTAATAGACCAACTAGATAATCTCTGGAAAGTGGTAAACCAGGATGCTATCAATGGGGAAAAAGTTACTAGTAGTGATACATCGGTATAGAACAACAAGACCTTCTAGAAATTCTGCACCGTTATAAATGAAGCAATACAGGAAAATCCAATTTTTTTGTCTACCATAATGTTTTATGTTTTCCTACGAAACTATTGTGTCAGCAGTTAATCCATTCTAGGTAGGGAAAGTGCAAGACCAAAACCATTGGTCAGTTAATGTGTGGTGGGAAATAAAATATTATAAAGTTATTGGACCATATTTTTTCGCGAACCACTTAACATTTTGCAGAATGATTTATCTCAACTTCTTCAACAAATATGTTTACAGCAAGATGGAGCTCCCTAGCATCATCATCGAGAAGTTCGAGAATTTTTAAATTATCCTTCCCCACAGAAATGAGGAGGTTGAAATGGATTCATTGGATGAATGCGTGCAAGTGAACCAAATATATTCGTTTATGTTGAACACCCTGCAGTATGGAATTCATAATCGTCAATTGTAATTTTTTTTTGCAAGTGCAAAAATCACTATTTTTTTAGAAAAATTTTAATATCGGAAAAACTATTAGTCATTAATTAATAACAAAGTTGAAGAATTTCGAAACGAATTCAAAACAATATTGATGAGTGCTTTTTGACTTGAATCGCCCGGTATACTTGAATTTTTTTTTAAATTGTACATTCTAACAGTCTTGAGGTAATGAACTTTGAACTTTACCGCTGACTTACCCTGTATATACATATTATGTTTTCATTGAACATAACACAGAAATTAAATTGTAAACGATGATGATATTCTTTGTCATCTGAGGAGCTGTTATATCCTCTCGCTCAGTCCCAGATTCGAGACCGCTCAGCATAAAATCCCGCAGGTCCTCACTTGATGCTCCACTATAAACAACGCCGCTTATACGGGAAGAGGAAGTGTTGTATGCTTATACCAACAAAAAATCATCACTTCCTTGTTCCGCTACAGACGTCACCCGCAAGCGACTCGAGATTGACGCTGCCGTCAGAGTCTGATTGGCCTGTCATCCGCCGTTTTCATTCCATTTCCAAATTCCTAGTGCTGATATTACGATATTCGATGAAACATATCCGACTTTGGCCGGAAAAAGTCGACTATGTGTTCCGGAGAGCGTGTTCGAAAAAATACGACACGGGCATGTTGGGCGATCTGGGAAAGGGCGCCGGCAAGGGCGGTGGCGGAGGCGGGGCCGTCAGGGACGCTGGCGGCCCTTTTGGTACGTATTTCGAATAATTCTGGCATCGTGCACGTTTTAAAAAAGTATTTTAAAATCCATCTTCAAACAGTTATTTATTTATTTGATCTTTGAGACACAAACGGGTTAAATCCACAACTATGTCCTCTTAACAATTACAATATAAGCACGCAATAGCATGCATATCTTAGTAAATAATAATACAAAAAAAAGAGACAGTGAAAAAAATTAATAAAAGAAGCGATTAATTAATCGAGCAAAAAATAGCAAAAAAAAAATAAAAATAAAAATAATATTTCAAATTTAAATCGAAACAAATCTACCAATTTATTTTTTATTCATCAATAAATAGAATGTGGAACTATTCTATTTATTTAACAATTCATTTTGTAGTATGCTCTGAATAAGTAACGGCAGGAAAAGGTTAGGTCCAAGTTGATAATATAAAAATCAATAAAGCTAAAATAGGAATGTGAAAGTTATTTTGGTCTACGTTGAATTGTTCAGCTTTAATCAGCTCGTGAAGTAGACAAAATGCCACAAATGCCACTATGAACAAAACTTCTCGAAGCTCTTCAGAAGTTTCCATATTTAAGGTGTTCCTTAAAAAAAAATGAAAAAATAACCTTAACGGGTGATGGTAGACGAAAGCCACTACAACTTTTGTTATTCAACGATTGTTTCTAAAACCTAGAACCTTTGGGTGGTGGGGGAAATATAAATGATAACGGACATTCCAGTAAGGGCAGCGAGTTACGGTATTGAAGAAACGGATGTTCCGAAAAATTTTGAAAATCATAAAACAAATAAAGTTTTCTTAGAGTGAACACTGTTTTAAGCTAAGAAAAATTAAAAATCTTTTTGTACTCGTTAAAAAGGGATTTTCCTGGGCTATCAAACTTGCTATCAGTGAGATGATTGCGGTTAAGTAGCTTGCCACCGGATGGCGTTTTCTAATGGCAAAAAAAAAATTCTGAAAGAAAATTAAATGCAACGATATGAATTTTTTTACACCATTAGATGTCAAGCAAGAGTGCAAAAACCCAGTGAAAACCGCATCTCAATATCATTATCCTCACCTAAAATTTGAATAAAAGAATACGTTGTTATTAAAAAAAAGTTCGTTGTTTATCTGAATATATATGAGTTTTTTTACATTATCATAGACATTATTAGTATGTTGTCATATCCTCATCTTTTTTTATAAAAAATAAGATTTAGTCACTCATCAATATTGACAAATACTAAGTTAATTAATTACTTTTATGTTTCATTTCTTGCTTATCTATCTAATTAACTAACCTTTGAGTTTTCTCACATTGATTGTGGTTACCGCATTAAAACTGCCGACTGCCGAAGTATACGACATTTTGCTCGTGTTTTCCCAGTGTCATTGAAACGCATATGTGGTTGGGCGAGTATACGCCGCAAATTATCCCAATAAAAGACATTTTAGTACAATTGTATTTATTCGTTTAAGTGGATAATTATTGTTCTTTTTCAGTAAAAATTACAAGAACGCTGAGTATCTACAAACTTGCCAAAGCTGGACAGATAAAAATCAATATTGGGTTTTTGAGTGTGCAGAATTGAAAAATGCTGACAGCCGTGTTGTCAGATTTTCCACTTTTAGGTTACAAGTCACAATTTTGTTATTTTAAATGGAATTACTGTATCGTTCTAGCTACAGCAGTTTTGGATATATTTAATAGTTCAGTTTAAAATAAATGTGACGTAAAAGTGGTAAATCTGGACACAAAGGTGAGAAACGCCTGTAATGTTGTTACAGGTAAAATGGGAGCTGCACGAGAGGAAGAATATTTTTATCACAAGCAGAGGGAGCTGATAGCCAAACTGAAGGATCAATTGGAAGAAGAGAATAGGCTGAGAGAGGCAGAAATCACGAGGCATCGGCAGGCTATAGAAGAGAACAAGGAAGCGGTGAAAAAAATCGAAGAGAGCCTCAGTTACTGCGACGATAAGGTTAATAATAAAGGCCGTCGATGAACACAACAAACTTCACGGCAGAAGGTTTTTTGAAAATGTTGGAGGTTTTTCCTCCCGCGTGGCAGTAAAATGAAAGGACGCGATGTAGGGCTTAAACCAAAGAAAAATAAAAAAAATTAAATCACGGGGGTTGATTTAATGGAGATGGTGGCACGAAGGTAAATCGAATTTACACGCGATGGCGCTCAAAATGAATTCCGCCGATACAGGTCTGTCTGTTATGCCAAGTGCCATTCAGGTGGCGAGAAATTAATGAAGCGTCACGAGAAAACAAACGGAATTAACAATAGCGTTAAGCGATACGATAAAATAAAGAAAAAAATGCTATAAGACTTGAATTTCCGATAAAAGTAAAATTTTTATCTATAAAAACATTTCGAGTTTAAAAGTTTCCCATGAAATTGGCAAAATTATCCGAAATTCCCTAAACTAAGATCATCACGCAAAAGTTAGCGATAACTTTGAGAAGACCATAATTGGGATCAATTTTCTTTTACATAAAACCTTGTACACAAAATATTTTGATTTAGTTATAAAAAGTCTACCCGAAGGCAAGATTTTTTAAAACACTTTTATTAGTTTTAGATTACAAGTAATCTAAAGCGTGTGAAAAGAAAATGGCATATTTCCAAAAAAAATTACTTGCATTCATTTGCAATCGTTTTACGTACGGGGTTTCTAGTGTATTTTTTTATAAAATCATTTAAGTATTTCATGGACCTTTGCAGCCTTAAAAGTGAATGAAAGTTACGAATTTTAACAAAAATACTTACCGTAGCCGGCACGAAGTCCTATTAGAAGCTATAATATCGAACAAACTCAAAGAAAATATAGAAAATGTTCCAGTTTTTGTCATAAAAGTGCAAGTCAAATTGCGCAGACGATCAATTCTTAATTTACAGGATGGCAGGACACTGCTGGTCATTGACGCTTCTTCGTTAACCTCAATTTAAATCTGCGTGGAAGAGATCGACTTCTAATATCTCGTCATCGCAAAGAAGCGTTCAAAATTTCTGTTTTTTTCAAAGAAACTTGCACAGGCTACTATTTATAAAACTTCTGCATTCCTCCTGCGTTTCGCCAATCATCCTGTTGGCTTCTTCAGAGCTTAACCGAGACTAAAGGAGGAGGATAACCATCGTCTGACTGACATCGGATGACTGATACTTATAGGTAAAGACCAGAGTCGTGGTTAAGATTTAAAAATGCTTGTCTGGAACATATTGTCACGTCTCCATCAGACCTACGAATCAACTCTCTTGTTTGCGGAGCCGGAAAACTATCTCAGCCCGAGTTACTGAACCCGAAATAAAAACACCTTATATCTGTTCTTCTCTCTAAAAATTTCCATATTAGAGATTCCGTCTCAAAATACACTTCCCCACAACCTTCCAAAGCCAGTGAATCCGAAAACAACCCCACACTTCAAACTGTTTTCCTTCCTTATATTGAAAACATCAGAAGGTCTTATGAAATAAGTTTACAGCATTCCATGCATATGCGTCAAAGAATACATTAGAGCGACCGGACGAAAAATATCAACCAGACCCGAAGAACATGAAAGAGCCTTAAGACTCCAACAAATAAACTCATCAGCAGTTGCTGAACTCAAAATAAAACTAAAATTCTTTCAGGCAATCGCTTCTTATAATAAGCAACCAATCTTAACCGCGGGAATCAGTTATCCGAGACAATGTTCATGCCTCTCCGACTTCCTCAAATAATATATAAGCGAGGACAGATTAGACTGCTAGCTCTGAAGAAGTCAAAAGGATTATTCGCGAAACGTCCAAAAAATTTGTAAATGGAATTACAGTAGCCTGTGAATGATACTTTGAGAAATTCCTTACAAATCTGTTAAAACCACTTTCTTTAAACTACTTCCAACGTGCCAAATTTAACCTCACTTAACCAAACTTCTAAGATCGGAGAGGTAAAGAATAAGACTGTTTTGTTTACGAATTTAAACAGGGGACGAAACCAGAGAATACTAATAAAACAGTTTCAGTGAAGCTCTGAAGAGCCAACAGAATGATTGACGAAACGTCACCCATCCCATCATCCAGATCTGTAATTAGTAATCATCAACATTGCCATACAAAAAATCCTGCGGTAATTTGTTAAATAATAAAATTCAAACTAAATCTAAGTCCAATTTTTGTAGAACATCCCCGTATGCTGCATTTTTATGTTGCGTCGCTTTGCCGTGTAATTTTTAGGCATCGTCTCCGAGAAAAGATCTCGGTCTTCCGTAAGAAATTCGCTTAGGCGATATTTTACCCTCTTTTAGCGGGAACACGGCCTTTGGCAGCGTCGACCGAGTTTATGAAAAATAGTCTAGCAAATTCACTTTGCCCAAAGAAACATCGATTCCGCCTTTTTTCACGCATCCCTCGGGTTAGTGCCGATGGCAGGCAAAGCACACGTGCGGACTGTCTACTTTTTTCGTTATCGACGCAGGTGCGAGAAAATATAACCGAATGATATTCAACACGATTTGGTTTTATAGCCTATGTCTGGTTTATCATCTGGTTTCGATTGGAAACATCGGCTTTTGGTATTGGGAGTTTTGGGGCAGAATAACTTATTACGTAGCCAAACGAGTCACCTCAGTTAAATAAGTAACGTTGTTAAAGGCTATAAGGAAGCAGGAAAGGCGTCCTAATAAAGAGAGAATGATTCAGAAATATTAAGCTTTCTAAAATTGCTGCCGTATATTATGGTTTCTTATCAGCTCCCATCCTTCAATTTCTGCTGTAATTTATATAAAATAATAAGTAATTTGCCAGATTTGTATATGACTGGCCAAACCTGAGGCTTCCAGAACTGACTGGAGCTCCACCTAGGAAGTGAACTGCCACTACTATAAAAGTATCTTTTTCTTTCAGCACCCGAAGTTACGACACAAGTGACGTAATTCAGTGACACTATGTGCGGAGTTAGATCCTCGGAATTTTCTTTGGTATAAGAACTGATTACATATAAGAATTTTAGTTTTATCGAGTAAGAGTAAACATTGGTGCTCAGCAAATGCTGATGAGTTTATTTGTGGTAGTCTTAAAGGTCTTTCATGTTCATGTCAATTTTGTCTTTGATGTATCGAAGATGTTGAGTGATTTTAGGACAAGTCGTAAATCTGGTTTTGACATTAAGAACTTTTGATATCAACAATATTTTCATTCAATTCGATGGTAATTAAGGTGTCTAAAGGTTAATGAATATGTTCACTATGACTGGTGATAATGGAGAAACTATAGCTGTTCCCGCCGTTTGTTCATAAATTTGATTCCAGAATCTTCTGAAATAATATTGAGAGTTTCAGGAATTTAGCAAAGCGGGATACATAATTTGTCAGATTTGTATATGATTGGTAAAACCTGAGGCTACCAAAACCGATTGAGGCCCCACCTAGGAACTGAACTGCAACTACTATAAAAGTATCTCATCGTTTTAGTCCTGGTAGATCTGTAACAAAAATAAGCAGTCAAACTTACCACACAAATCAAGTAATTCAGTTATAATGTTTATCTGGGTAAGCTAATGTCGTCGAAACTAACCAGAACTAACAGGTTTTCCTGTAAAGGAGAATATGTTGAAAAATCTATGGTGCTGACAATCGAAAGGGTAATCCGGATTTGTGAATCTTCGGAAGTCCGTAGAGGCGAGGAATTTTCACGAGGAGTGACAGATTTTCACTGATCCTGATAGAGAAGAACCCTTAATAACAGATTGAAGGTTGCGTTCCATGCGTTCCCTTATCCGATTTAATAATGACGATGTCGGGATTAGACTTAGAGACTTTAGAGCAATGTGTTCAGGTTTTGGAATATTAAATTTAGGAGGTTTGGATTTTTAAAGGATTTTTGCGGTTTCAAAATGAATTTCATTAGCTGTTTGAGATGGCAGTTTGTTTAGGTTTAGATTCGAGATTTGAAACGATTCCCTCTTTTGGGGTGGGAACCTTTTGCAATTTTCCATCTCCCAGAATTGGCGACAGTGTTTGATGACTTCCCTAGTGTTGACGTAAGCTTTTCCAATTTTTGATTGCGATTGTGATTTCTGATGATTCTGTGAAAAATATACCCATTCTTAAACGCACAAACAAATTCGAAACACGTTATTCCAAGCTTTGTTTGAGTAATTCATTTAATTTGTTTATTAATGTGTATTTAAAATGATATTATCCATCTGCATGGTCTGCAGGTGTGTTTTGGGCTGAACCGACTCCGAGACTGCTATACGAATCTCGGCAATGTTGTACCGGTTTCTCGCATTTGGCTATGCTACCCACGCTGTATTCTCAGTGTGACTTGGATTATAGTATTATACACAAGTTTTACATTTATTACTACCATGAAAATTTTGTTAGATACCTTCAATGATATTTAACGATTTGACAGTTACCTTGATAAAAAATTGGAGGAACAAGCGATTAGAATTATATCCAACCAGATATATAGAGACCATTGTCGACCTCTGTTTCAGGAACACACAATTTTAGAAATTCATAACTCGAAGAATTTGATATTATTATTGAAGATAATTATGGATAACCCACTTCCTCTTCGAATTTACTTGCAACTATGAAGTTTAAATACAACAAAATCGTGAAAAATTTTCTTCACCTAAGCTTATATTACATAATTTTAAAGCCATTATCAAATCTTTTATGGAACATTGCTATTATTCTGTAGAGGAACATAAACAAATGATAATGGGATATTTGCAACAAGTGCATTTCAGTCAAGAGTTTATTTGGCTCGAGCGGAGCGAGTGTTTAATAGACGCGTGAAGTTTTTCTACTCCCGTCTGTAAAATACCTCATTAGACACCGATCTAGCATGCGGGAAGCGTCCCTTCATCACGTGAGTTTTTTGTTCCACGGATCCCAGCCCCTGCGGAAATTTCCGAGTTTTTACCGCACGGCTTGAATTTTGACGTTTGTCAATTCTGACGGTCATGTCAGTGAATGAATTCGTGTTGTTTTGTAAAAGTGAACCAAATATATGCAACACGATTGGTAAACTTTTTAAGTCACTTGTTGCGCTCGTACAAAAATTTTATATCCCGGTAACGGTAGGTCCTATGGGATCGCCGTTGGTACAGAAATG